AGCATCCACAGCAGTACCCCCAGCCAATTGGACAACCACTCCCTCAGGGGTACCAGCCTGGACCAAGGGCTCTTCCTGGCTCTCATCCTCTTCAAAACCAACAAACCTACCCACATCCATATATGCCCCAACAGCCTGGTGTTCCTCCCCAGTACCAGCAGGCATTTCCAGGTCAGCTACAGTCACAACAAAATGGCTTTCAGGCGAAGCCTCCAAGAGGCCAAGGCTACCAGACTCCACAGGGCTATATTCAACACCCTCAAATGATGCCAGGCTCCATGCCAAGGCCACCTCAGATTACACACCCACCAGGACCCCCATCTTCTCAAGCAGCACCCCCTGTATCTCAACCCTACCCACCCCATTCCAACCAACAGATGCCCCAAGCACTCCCTCATCAACACATGCTACCACAGCACCAACAGGTCTCCATGCCCCCCGGTGCCCAGCAGATACCGCCTCACCCACAGATGCAAATACCAGGTGGTCCCAGAGCACCAGCGCCCCCCACAAGTCAGCCGATGCCTCCAGTTTCACAAAACTACATGCCCTCAACGAGCCAACCCATTCACTCTGCAATGCATCCACAGATGCCTCCTGTTTCACAACCCCATATGGTTCCTGGTCCTCAGGGCCACTTGCCAAGGGGGCCTATGCCTCAAATGCCCTCCAATACACTACCCCCACAGCACCACCATCACCCTGGACAGCCTCCCATGCCAAATATGCCGCAGCAGCCCATGCGGATGCCCAACCAACCCCAATCTCAGCTGCCTCATCCTGGGGGCGTATGCTACCCTGGAGCAGCGCCAATGATGCCTCAGCAGCCTCTGGCACCACAGCCTGCTGCTCCGCAACAACCTCAGGCTCCTCTTCCTATGACACATCCACAGCCTTCAGCTATGTATTCTCCAGCTCCAGGACCTAATGTACCTTCAAGTGCCCCACAGCCACCCACTGCCATAGGCCCACATGGTATACATGCCCCACCTACTCAGCACATGATTCAGCCCACTCCTGGAGGCCCTACAGTATCACAGCCACCCAACAGTATCCCACCTTCCCCTTCACCTTCTCCCTCCCCAGCACCCTCTCCAGGTCCGTCTTCTCTAGGTCTGAACCCTCAGCAGAGGCCCGCTCCAACCCCGACTCCTGGAGGCACAGCCCAATCGACTCTTCCCTCTCCCTCTGCTGTTTCTTCCTCCACTTCACTGTTTGAACGACAGAACTCAAGCACAGATGACCTCCTGTCCTCAAGTCCAGAGAGCCAACCGGGAGGCACCAAGGCCCCCACTAATGTTCTCCAACCCACCAAAGCTGACCCTCAGGATGGGGAGCGTAGAAAGAAAAGCTCCCAGGGAGTTCTCTTGATCCAGGGTGACCCATACCAAGCCCCAGAGCGTGTCGCCCGCCTTCACAGTGAACTAGAACGTTACAGAGCCCAAGTAGATTCCCTGGAGAACCCCTCAGAGAATGAGGGAGGGCTTTCTGTGCTGGATGCCCGCTGGAAAGAGCTACAGGACCAGCAGGAGAAAGCTGCTCGCCAGCTTTCCATTGCTATTGCCCGCTGCTACACCATGAAGAACCGTCATCAGGACGTAATGCCCTATGACATAAACCGTGTGGTGCTACAGTCAGGGAAAGATGACTACATTAACGCTAGCTATGTGGAAGACCTGTCACCATACTGCCCACGCCTTATTGCCACGCAGGCTCCGCTCACCGGCACAGCAGCAGATTTCTGGCTGATGGTGTATGAGCAGAAAGTGTCACTGATTGTTATGCTGGTTTCGGAGCAGGAGCTGGAAAAGGTACAGAGTTTAGTTTGCACAGTGGAAGTATATAATCTGTACATTACTATTTTTCAGTAGTGTGTAAAAATGTTTTTTACAAGAGAACTTAAAGTTTTTTGTGTTTGGTTTTTGTTTTTTTTGTTTTCTCAAATAAATTAAGCTACACATCATTAAATTAATTTACTTTGTTGTTTGTGTGTTTAACATCTTTCCATATCCTCACAGGGAAAGGTTTGGCGTTACTTCCCAACGGAGCGTGGCCAGCAACTCTCTCAGGGACCAATAACACTCAGCCTAACAACACAGAAGATGACACCAACACACGTGGAGCGCATGATCAGTCTGCAGTACCGTGACCAAAGCCTAAAGCGGACTGTTGTCCATCTCCAGTTTACTTCCTGGCCAGAGCTGTAAGTCATCTCTTCATATTAAAAACTGTAGATAAAGACTTTTCTTAGTCAGCCTGGCAGTGCAACGTAAGTACATCAAATATTATTTCTTCATATCCCATTAGGGGCCTTCCTGATAGCAAGAGCAATCTGCTGCGGTTCATCCAAGAGGTTCATGGACACTACTTTCACCAGAGACCCTTACATACACCTGTTGTTGTGCACTGCAGGTGAGTGTATTTCTGTGGTTGTCCACTCCATTTATATACAGGGAGTTTCTTCAATGCATGTAAATGCTCCTGGCCCTCCGGGTCATAGCCTTCAAGTGTAGACAACACATAACACACGTGTACTGTTTTTGCTTCCTGCTGATAAAAGAGCAACTAAGTTTTGATCCTTGTTATTCATTTTAGCATCTCAGTTGTTGTTAATCAGTCTGTACACTTTTTGTCTCAGCTCGGGTGTTGGACGCACTGGCGCCTTCTGTCTGCTGTATGCAGCTGTTCAGGAGCTGGAGGCAGGAAATGGGATCCCAGACCTTCCACTGCTGGTGAAGAAGATGAGACAACAGAGGAAGAACATGCTACAGGAGAAGGTAAGAAAGAGATGGGACTCTGATGTTGTGTTTAGGATTGATCTTTGTTGTCGCAGGTTTAAAGTTGCAATATGCAAAAATGTACATATAGACAACAGAAAAAGCTGATTGTACATTTCAAGGAGTTTAAAACCTAAATTTTAATTAAGCATTATGAAATAAATGAAGAGTCGCACAGAACACTTTGCCAAGTGCTGCTCAAAAATCCTAAATGTAGAAATATGTGACTATGCTGACAAAGTACATCATGAATCAGGCACTGCTGATGAATAGCTCTTCATATAGTACACACTTTATATCATCTTTCGGTCTGCCTCCAGCTCCACCTGAAGTTTTGCTATGAGGCTGTTTTGAAGCACGCCGAGCAGGTTCTTCAGCGCCACGGCATCACGACCGCCACCTGCAGCAAGAACACCAACTCTGCAGCCACAAAGGTTTGTCACTCTTCTTATACTGTCCTTTCAAATAAGTTCAACTGGTTAGTGGCTCACAAAGCACCATAAAGGGAAAGATATGTTGCTGCTGATTAATAATCCTTTGAAAAACCATAGCCACGCAGCTTGTAGGTAACAGAATGTCACATACATAAATTTACTGGAGCCAATTTTGTTCAGTGTTGTGAGCTATGCAGTCAAAACTTTACTCACCTCTATTGTAGATTTCTAGACATGGACTTCTGAAATGGTTCTTAAAACAAATCCCTAGCATCTCACATCTAATTGCACAACTTTAATCTGACTGTAACCCTCTAATTGTTTACAGTTTTGCACTCCTGATTGTTCCCAATGAATTGTGAGTTCTGGTTAGTTGAGGTACTGAAGGTATTTGTTTTTTTTTCTCTGCATCACTTCTTTCATTTGTATTTCTTAAACACCTCTCTCTGTGTTTCTGAAGCCTTACCCGAGACAGGAATCTCAGCAGGATATTGTCCTCGGCGGTGACATGCCCATCAGCTCCATTCAAGCCACCATCGCTAAACTAAGCATCCGGCCTCCAAGTACCACAGATGCAGGCATGGAGGCTGAGGAGCAGGTCGGCCCTCTCTTACCTGCTCTTGACTCACTGGGGGACATCCAGCAGCTCCAGGATCTCTGTCCTGCCACAGATCCACAGCCCCCATCCTCCTTAAGCCCGCCTCTCACTTCGCCCACTGCCTCTCCTCCACCACCCAACGGGCTTGATGCCGTTTCCCCTTCTTCTCTGCCAGCACCCAACCATCAGCCAGTCCCAGAGGCTCCGCCCAGTGTTCCTCCTGCTTCCTCTGCACCGGCTCCTTCATCTCTGGAGCTCCTGGCCTCGCTGACGCCTGAAGCCTTCTCCATGGACGGGGTGGGTCGAGGGAAACAGCGGGTGACTAAACAAAGCTTTCTGCAGCCGGCAGAAGGCCAGGGTCTCCACGGAACTCGAGGGGACGAAGGAGACGACCCGCTCAGTAGCCTGGATCCCCTCTGGAGCCTCAGCAAGCGTTGAGATGAAACTATAGATTTCTGCTTTTCACCCACTCTACCACCAGGTGTCAGTGATGGCCTGTAGCGCTTTCTAATCCTGCTTTAAAAAGAAGGAAAACAAAACAAATTGGCTTGGAGATATTTTAGTGGTTGATTACCAAGATGTGCCTAGTGGCAGATTATAAGGGTTCAGTTTTGAAGATTGAAATGTGTACTTTGCACTGCTTTAGGGGTGTGAGGCTTGAAACTAAAAACACTTGCTTCTCCTTCAATCACTGATGGCTTCTGGGACCAGAACACTATGCACTCGTTGGTATTATCTTCATTCTTTGCTGCTTTTCTTTTTACGTGTGTGGTGGATGGAAGCATGTCTGCTCTTCCAGCACCAAACCTGCGCTCATCTTATAAAATAAAAAAAAAAATCCCAGCATGCACTCCACTTCACAGGCGCCTCACTGTTGGTCATCAAAGCATCGCCAAGGGTGTGACATCGCTTGGCCGCTCTGTGATTATTTAATGGCTGGAATAAAAGATGAAGTTGTAGGCATGTGGAGGCACTCCCAACTCAATCAGTGCGTACAGTTCAGTTTTTATGTTAACAGAGGAGCATACAAATCAGCACGTCTTAACAAGTTGATTATTTCTCTTTGTAACACTGTAAATATCTTAAACCTAGAATATTACAAAAATTGTCCTTCTGGAATTAAAAAAAAGATCACTAATCATTCATTATTGTAAAATCTGAAATAAATCCAGTAGACAGTCAACCTTTGTGGTATCAAAGCCTCTTTATTTGAAAATTAGTACAAAGTTTTGCGCTGTTACAAAATAGTAAACAAGTTACTACAGCCTGCGTAGATTGTAGCCAGCCAATGAGGGGAGAAGGCTGGAGTGGGTGGGGGGGGAAGGAAAACACCTGGGGATTACATTTGTTTATGTGCTGCGATGCTTTTTACAGCAATCTAAACAAAAAAAAATATTAAGTAAGAAATGTTACACTGATTTGTATTTGCAGCTGGAGGAGGATCAAACAAGACCCACATCTCTGCCATTCATTGTGAGGATGCAGCTAAAGATTTCTTTTAACCTAAATGATTAAAAAGGTCGCTGCTGCATCCACAAATTCTTGATATGGTGCCGTGACGGCTGAAACGAGACGGAAAGGTATGAAGCGATCTAAAATTAAAGGCATAGTTCATCTTTATAAACAGAAACATTCAGAAAAAGCAGTGACTCGACTCAATCACCACACCAACCCACCTTCCCATCCTTCAGCTTTAAAAGAATAGTTTGACATTTTGGAAAATGTGTGTACGCGCTTACTGGCAGAGGAAACTGATGCTGCCACAAAGTTTTCGTTTGAGGAACACGGCACAAGTTCTCGTCTTTCTCGATAATTTCTCGACCTTTTGACTTTGATATTTAGTAAACACTGTTAAAGGAAACTGTTTATGTGCAGATAAACTAAAGCATGAGAGAATCAGGGTCACATTTCTGAGGAATTGTGCCTGCAACACTACACTTGGTGATTTCTCACCGTTTTAGAAATGTAAGATTTCTGTTTTACAACACTAAAATATCCTCAGCATAGAGCCCCTGTGATCACAGAATAGCACAACGATAAAACGGCTGTTTTAGCTCTGACAATTTCTTTGAATATAGAGTGTAATTCCTTGACATCTCAGTGCTGCAGTTTTCAGACCAACTTCTCAGCAAGCAGAGTTAACTGGAGTTGCTAACCCAGTCACTGTGTACATTCGGCAGTATTTAACTCTGCAAGAAAGCAAATACAGGTTCCCAAAATATCAAACTTGAGCTTTAATTCACATTTCTAGAAAACACATGTGAAACTGAAATCTAAAAAAAACAAAACATTCCCCCATTTCTAAAGCTTTCAACTAAACAAAAACCACAAAGCTAATAAATCAACAGCCACAGCAGCAAGATCACATTACTGGCCTCTGTGATGGAGGTGCCATTTGTCCCAGAAGTTGAAATGTGAATACTGATGCTACAGTTGGAAAAATTAAAAATAAATCATACGATAATCATCAGCTTGTTTCTGGAAAAGAAACTCTGGTCGCATCCGAGAGGAACAAGCGCTGCAGTCTATATGTCACGTGCGTGTTTAACAGTGCTGCAGGTGTGAACTTTAAGTCCAGTTACATCCGACTCTTCTGCATACAAGCTGAAATTGCAAAAACAAAGTGCCTAAAAATGTGTGTGAGCTTGTACATCAGAGGGTTAGAGATGAAAGGAGTTAGTGTTGTGACCGCAGGGATCAGGTGCAGGTCTTTTAACGGATTTTCTGAGACGACATTCAGGACATACAGAAACAACAGATGACGACTGGGAGAAAATACATTCTGGACATTGTGGATGTTGTTGGCATCAGAGAAAAATCTTTAACCTGCAGGATTGCATTCTTTCTACCCAGAGTAAAAAAGTGAAGTTCAGGCACAGACTCAAAAACGAGGGGGTTAAATGTTGAAAAATGCATTGCTTTCATAAATACTTGGCTTGTTGAGTTTAAGAATTTAACAGTTTCAGTATTGACAGGATTTTCACCTTGTGTGCAGAATAAGTACAAAAGGCTCTTTACTCGATGTTCAGACAGAAGCTTCATATTATACACGCTACAAAACAATGATTGACATGCATTGCTTTTGTCTGGTTTCTTAAGGCGTCTAGCAATTGTTTGAAAACATTCATACCTGACAGAGCAACCGTATGACTAATAGTGGAAAAACTGACTGAAAATACTATTGACATTTCCTGTTTAGTCCAATTAAAAAGACTTAATTAAAAAATGTGTGATATAATACTGCGTGTGTTTCAGGAAAAGATTATCTGAACAGTGTCACATGTGCCAGGTCCAAATTTTGAAAAGGTTATATCTCAAACCCATTCCTGATGTGAAAAATCCAACATCAATACTGCAAACTGTTTTAAAATGTACTAGTATTATGCAAAATTAGGGACAGGATGCATTCACTGTTACCTTCCTTTACATTTTTACCAACTGGTCGCTGAAAAAAAAAGAAAAAAAAAAAAAAAAGAACAGGTTTTAGGACAAACTCTGCTTAAGCGTGCATCAACAACATACCAAAAACTAAAAATATACACACAGTATATCTAACGTGATCCAAGTAGTCGACAAGGTTGTGTCACCCTTTGTGGCTTGAATTAAAGATTGTGGATTAAAAATGATATCGGGTGACCAAGTTATGGCTAAATGGTGATTTAAAAAAACAACAACTCTAAAGCACAGAATGCATTTAAAAAAAAAAAAAAAAAAAGCGCAACATCAGTCATCCAAAATTCAAGCTATTTGAAAAATGGAGGTAGCCTGATGAAGGTGTAACACACTGGGGAAAAGCAGCCCCTCATACAACATCAGTAACCCCAGAGTCAGAGGCCGAGGTTGGGGTAAAGGAGGAACCCTTTCTGCCTCCCTGCGGCCTCCAAATCTACAAACACACGTGTTTCCACCTCAGTGTTACAAACAACCAAAAGCCCAGTGCTGCCAAACAAATAAACACCTTCTTACATTTAAGTCACCTTTTCCACATTATTATGGTCTTATTTAAGAGCTGTGATTAGTCATTCATATACAAACTGTTACTCAAAAAGGGAAAGAAAAAAAAAGTATCGCTAATAAATAATAAATGTAGACATAAAAACAGCCCCCTCTGGAGGTTTACTTTATACAGTAATCATTGGTTCTCCCTCACACAAACGCACACATAACCAATCAACTTTTGTTCTCAGCAGTTTTACTATAAAAAGGGTCTAAACTCATTCAATCACTCTCTCTCACACACACACACACACACACACGCTCAATTCATCCCCGCAGGCGATGGACCTGTCGAGCTCTCTGTGGCTGCACTTCGCTGTTGAGCGCACGGCACAGCAGGAATATTAAAAAGAAAGAAAAAAAAAAAAGAAAAAAAGAGGAGCTCTATGGTCCTCCTCTCTGGGTGGGTGGGGTCACAAGCCTCCCCCCGCCCTGTGTGAGCAGCATAGAGGGCAGATCTGCAAAAACAAATGTGCGTGCACAAAAAGCACAAACTCAGAACTGGCGAGCTCCCTTCAAGTGAGAAAAATCCAACCTTAACCAAACTCGTGACCTTCCGTAACGTCAGCAAGATGGCTCTGATAAAACGCAGTAGGTTCAACGGCCAGTTTTTCCTCATGATATTCAGACTTTAAAACACCTCCCTGTTAAAACAGATAGTCTCGTATCTAATGATCGCACATCATCCAAACGCCAGAAGCAACGAAACAAAGCAAAAACTGGATCCTTTGACTGTTCCCACTGATAGCTGCCAGCCCTTCTCAGTCCAGTTTCTCCAACACCGAGGGAACGTAGACCAAGCTGAGCTCGCTGCCAAAGTCGCAAACGATGGCGGCGTTGTCCAGCACCAGCAGCTGCCGGACACCCTGACCGTCGCTACTCTGACCCAGGTACACCGTCTGCAGCAGGTCGCCGAAATTCAGGTCCCAGAAGGAGACGCAGCCCTGCCCCCCCGTCACCAGCAGAGACTCTGAGATCACACCCAGACTGGCCCCGCAACCCACCTCCTGGTGGGAAGAAAAGAGAAGCTGATAACAGACTGCTGTGTAATGCATTTTAAGGGCTCCAACTACTGTTTGTATTCTTGAGAAATTAAGCTTATCATGTAAAGGATTAGAAATCAGGACATTTTTGGAAAGCTTTTTGTGATGACTAAGGAGAGTTTCTTTAGTCTCTGTCAGATATAGAGACACAGCCGAGTACTATCACACTGAATATGGCCAGTTGGGTATGCAAACAGGAGACAGTTAAAGGGAGCTAAACAGTTGGAATTTTGGAGTTACAGGGAATTACACTGTTGAAAAAATAATAATTGCAAAACACCTGTCTGATGCCAGGTTAGGCTTTAGAGGGTTAAAGAAATAAAGACGTGAAGGAGACTGAGATTAAAATGCAAGCACAGTACCTGCTGTATTGAGTACAGCTTGATTCCAGTGCTGCGGTCCCAGATACAGATGAGGTCATCCAGTCCTGAGCTGATGACACAAGAGGTTGTACACACCAGCGAGGTGACATCACCACAGTGACCGTAAACATGACTGACTCGGCTCCCTGTCAGGACATCCCACAAGCAGATGGCGCCGTCCTGCCCACCGCTTGCTAGAACCATCGTCTGAGAGGGAAAAAGTTTGTAATTGAGAGTCTAATTTACTGTTTCATGAAACAACTTCGTGGTTTTACTTTGGTAATTCCTCCATTTTGACCCACGGTTTTTAGAGAAAATATTCACCAATGCCTCCGTTATCACAATATGAAATGTTACGAGACGCGGGGATATTGCTGACCTGGTCTAAGTAGATGGCTGTAATCCCTCCAGAGTGACCTTGCAGGGTAAAGAGGCAGCAAGAGTCCTCCAGTCGATAAACCTAAACAGCACACGCAGATAAGGATGATCTATTAAAAGCACTATCACAAAGACTGCTTTTGGAGTTTGCTCATATTTTTTTTTTTTTTTTACTGCCAGTAAGATCCATTCTATAGAGTTTAATGAGAAATCAAAACAATATTTGTTGTACTTGAAATAAAAAGGACAGAGTGCAGGTCTGTTACCCGGACTGTGTGGTCTTGGCTGCCAGTGACGACTCTGCCGGCAGCTGCACGAAGCACCGTGATCGGCTTTTGGTGAGCACACTGTACGGAGCGTGTGAGCTGGCAGCTGATCACATCCTCACTGCTGTAACAGGGAGACTGAGGCATGCTGCTTCGCCCAGGGGGACCTGGAGGGAAAATTATTTATGTGAGGGAGAGGGAAAAAAACAAAACAAAACAAAAAAAACCCAAAACAAAACCTCATACTGTACATTTTTCCCCAATTAAAAATCAAACTCATACAACACTGATGCAGAAACATTTCAAGCCTCACCTCTGTACTGCAGCAGACCCAGAGGTTTGTTCATCTCAACAGTGAAGAAATCCAAGGACCCGTTCAGCCTAGCTGCCACAATTCTGGGAAGGAAGAGACACTCCGAATAAAGAACAGCCGCGCATAGTAGCCACAAGTAGGATGACACACTTTTGAATCTCTGTCAGTGCGCCCAAGGGCAGCTGTGGCTACAATGTAGCTTGCCATCACCAGTGTGTGAATGGGTGGATGACTGAATGTAGTGTAAAGCGCTTTGGGGTCCATAGGGACTAAGTAAAGCGCTATACAAATACAGGCCATTTACAATTTACAGCATACATCTGATGTGTTACAATCTAATGTTATAGAAGCAAGTAACATCTTTTAAGAGGTTGGAAAATTACATAAAATAAAATAAATTAGTGTGCCATTAAAATGACCGAAAAATATTTTTTGCCGATTTAGAGCACGTGTGTGTTTAACCTGTTGTTGAGAAAGGCCAGAGCTGTGATCCCAGAAACACCGTCTTCATTGCTGCAGCGTAGCCACCCTTCCACTGCATCCCACAGCTGTAACCAGATGCAATTGTACAGTGATTCTAAACACCAGCGGATCAAGAGTATGACTTTTTTCAGAGTGACATGTGAAATTTTTACAAACCTCCAGTTTGCCGCTGCTCCTCCCGGCAGCTATCAGATTTCCTCTGAGCTCCATGGCCCAGACAGAACTTTCCCAGTCTCCTGCCGCTTGCGCCCCAGCCATCGGGGATCTTTCTTGGATTACAGGTGTAGCTGCTTCCCCTAAGCTCGGACTCCTCTGGAGTTGAGCGCCTGATGGGGGCGAGGAGGAGGCTGAGGACGGAGAGGCGTAGGTAGATGGTGATGGGGGCTCGTGCTCCATGTAGGCACGCTCCACCAGTCCTCCAAAATCAAAGCCTGCTCTGGGTGCGGTGGACAGGTGGGAAGGGGGCTGGGAGGTGAAGTTGGTGTCAATGAGCGGGGTGAGATCGGGCTGGTCAATGAAAAGAGTGGGACGACTGGGCGTGGTGCGACGTCTTACTGGGTAGAGCTCGTCCTCTGTCAGCCCGTCTCCATTAAACGAGATGTCTCGTTCAGGACTCAAACACTCTGATTCTTGAGCCCCGGTCATGCTGTCCCAGCCATTCCGGTGGTCCCAGCAGCCACTGCTGCTGCTCCGCCTCAGCCTGAGAAGGAGGAAAAAAAAACAAAAAAACATTAGCATGACTTGAAGAGATAAACTGACTTTATGTTTGCAGATTTACTGGCAAACATTAACACACAAAAGGTCTGATAGGCAAAAATAAATTGATAATCTAAAAACCACCCATGAACACCAGATTGTCCCTGCTCACTGCATATTCCAGATCATGACTACTTTCAGTTGTTTCCTTTAGTGGTCAGCACAGATGATCACCAGCCATCTCACCCTATCCCAGCATCCTCCGTCATAGCAACCCTCTGAGTGTCCTTTCTCACTACATCCATGAACCTCTGTAGACTTCCTCTTCTGCCTGACATCTCCAACATATTCACTTTAATACAATCAATTTTCAGCCTCAAATTTCCTAAACTGACAGATTGTTTTTAAACTAAATTTTACTTAATGGAAAAATAAAAAAAACAAATAATTCCTAACAATGTAAAAGCAAATCTGGAAACATCTCACAGATCAATATGGCATTGAAATGTTTTTAAAACAAGATATTAAGAGTGTCTCACCCATGATTTGGAATGACAGTCAAGCAGTCCCCAGTCTGTGCGTCCCAAACCCGGATCTGTCCAGCCAGGCAGCAGCTAGCTAACAGCATCCCATCGCTAGCCAAACACTCGATATCCTACAGGACGGAAACATGGAGCAGGAAGTTGGTTTAAATAAGACTAAAGCGATCAGCCAAAAAAGAAATTAATACACATTTATTAAATTCAGCATTTGTGTTTTAAATGGCCCACCCTGTACTGTAGTATAGTACTATGAGCAAGTGTGAGTGTACGCTTGGTTTAAACCTTAACACAGCACAAACACATTTCTGTATCTTTTAAAATCGCTATAAAGCATAGGAATCAGCTGTTTGTTTTACCCTTTTTTTCAAATTGACATTTAATCTATATTTGCTAAGCAGATTTTATATAATTACAGTATCTGAGTCATTGCAACTGAACTCATTAACACTGGATTTATCTGCACCACATGAGATCTGGTCTTAAAATACATCTGAAATACAAATTAACTAACATTGTTAAAAAAAATAAAGACAAGGGAAAGAGGGAGTGTGCAAATAAATCTGACTAAATAAACAACACATGCTATTTTTTCTTTATATATGCACAGTGTTGCCTTTCTTATGAGTTTGTTTGGTGGACAAACAAAGACTGCGGCGTCTCCATCTTAGTCTCACCATACTGTGGCCCCTCAGCAGCAGTGGTGAGATCTCGCTGACAGGTGGTGAATAGCCGTAATCGTCACAGGGCAGGTCCCCTCGCCGCCGCCGCCCGTGAGGGACACCATTCTGACCGTAGTTTCGTGGGCAGAGAACGCGATACAGACAGAAGAGCAGCAGAACCAGCAGGACACCCGCAGCCAGGCCCAGAGCTGCCACCCTGGATCCAAAGACAACACAAAAGAGTCAGGAGTGCAGTGCCATCACACTACGACACATTTACCAGAAACAATCACACAGAAGCTGAACTTCTGTATATGCTCGTCAACTCCTTCACAAAATCTTTCAATGTACTGCACATTTGTTGTGTGTCATCTGTTCCATGAATTCACCCTTTTAATTGAAGCTCTAGATCTCTAACAGACTTTTTATCTCTCACAAAATACTGTGGAGATGCTGAGTTTCCTAAAATATTATCTGGACACTTTCACAGTCAGATGAGTAAATAGCCCAACTAGTGTATAAAGATCAAGCAGCAAAGTGAGAAACTGTTCATAACTGACAACAGATCTCGATGTTTACCTAAAACATTGTTCTGCAGCTGCACACTCACATGTTTATATAGTTTGTGTGTTGAACAAGTACAACTGTACAAATCTAACTCACAATATGTGGAACTGACCGCTTGGAAAAGAAAAACCATGAAAGAGCGCATGTGCCAGCTCTTCTGTGGAATGTGGAGCTAATGTGATGATAACCTGGCAGAGGAGTGTTGACTTTCTCTGCTTAAAAAACAAAAAAAAACAAAAACCCTCACATCTGTAATGTGAAAGGGTTTTTGAAATGCAGCTGTATAGGGAAACAAACATCGCACAAACATCTGATGCACAGTCAGTAATCGTGTTCTACAAACAGGCCTATATGGGACAAACTCCTCAGTTCAGAAAAAGAGCTTTAAGGGTTACTACTACTACTTTCTGTGCTTATCTTTATTTTGCTAATGGCTACTTTTTTGGCCATTTGTTTTCCAATGAGTAAAATCCATCTAAAGTCCCTGACATCATTTAAACTCATGCAGAAACAAAAACAAGGCAGTCTGTGTACTTCTGTTAGCTTTTAAAAACACTTTAACTGCAATAACAGGAGAATTACTGGCAGCAGAAACGAGTTGGGGAACCAACATTGACACACAGTTGCTTATTTACACATCCAGCACCTCTGGGGCAACGTTGCCATTTATTTGCAGTTTTACTCATGTTCACAATATAAACGGCAAAATATTCACTTTCTTTTAGCTCCGTTTTGGACTGTAGCCACTTGTGAGGGAGATGTGTAGCTCATTGGTTTCTGGTGATGATGTAGTGGGATTTTTGAACTTGTTCAATACAAACAGATGAACAGCAGTGAGAATGAACAGGAGGAAACTTGAGTTTACATTTCAGTCCTTGCCATGTACTTTTATTTATAAACTCATTTTAGATGTTACTCTTAAAAAAAAAAAAAAAAAAAAAAAAAGAAGAAGAAACAGCACAAATGATGATGAACTCTAATCCTGTCTTCAGACCTATTACACACTACGGTTACTTCACACAAACATCCAGCGGTTTTCGAAGGTGAAATCAGAAACAGATGAGATGGAGTCAGTATTAACTGGTTCAAACTGTGTCATTAACTTTAACCACTGATTGCACAATTTTTTATTTTAGCTGTCTTTTTTCCTGTTTAAAGTTGCTTTTGATCAAGATGGTTTTAAAAGGAAATATAATTTCCCCATGTCTTTCAAAAAAAGAGAAGAAAAACTTGTGTTAAGCGGAACACTGGAAAGCTCTTCTTGTGTTAGTCTGTGAAATCGCTCGTGTATGATCACACAAAAGTAGGATGAGAGACTTTATCCAGTTCAAAACTTCTCTTAAACAAGACAAGGCTACGCTGACTCGTTTGTTACATGTAAAGATCTTTGCTCCAGATTAAAAGTACAGAGAATTCCCTTGTAGACACCTTTATCAGTCCGGCCTTCCATCTATCGAAACCAGTGTTGATGTCAGTTGCCAATTCCCAACTGTGAAGGTCACGACCCCGACCAAACTGCTGATAGCAATCATATCTGCAGTCCAAAGATGACCAAAAACATCACACTTATGTCAAGGTGACAGACTGGTTTACACAACACGGTACAGTGTTGTTGCGGCAGATAGATGAGGCTGTTATAAGCTGATAAAGCTGGAAAGGACAGTGAATCGGTGTCTCTGAACCTCCCTCTAAGATAAAGAACATTATCTTCCCATTTTAGCAGCTTTATTGGACCGATATTGTGTGTACACACACACCGATTGCTCATCATTGTTGTGTAAAAGAACACTTCTAGTCTTAAGACTGATTTGCTAAACTACAGAATTCACAAATTTTAACCAAAGTTAAACTTTAATTTCCATAAAATAACAATCTAACAACATTTCTAATGGTGTTGTACCTTAAGTACTATGGTAAACTGGGGGTGAGCTTAAACGTGCTCGCCAATGTGCCATGCCACTGACAGCTAGTCTAGTTGTAGTGAGAGTTTCTGCAATTATGTCTAAAATTGTATTTTTCACTGTGACTTTGACCTCTGACCAAAGTCATCACTGAAGTCTATGCTAACACTGAAGAAATTCCTAAGATATTCTTGTACAGTAAATACTTCCCACACAGGATTAGCCCATTGTCCCTGAATGTGTCACCTGCTAGGGTAAGGAAAAAAAGCCCCACAAAAAACACTGACAAAGCCTGTAAAGTAAACAAGTCAGCCAGGCTTGGCCAGTTAGAGAATATGAATACTTGCTAAAGACGGAGATAACCCCTGGCATTATTAGAATACACACAAAGAAACTGCATTTTCACCTCACATAAAAGAAGATTACCATCAGCCCAGCAACACAGTGAACACTAAGCCAAGCATGAAACGTAGGTGCTCTTTTACTCCCTTCTGTGTTATGTCAACTTAAATACTGTAATAGAAAATACATCTACAGCACTGACAAGTTTAAAAGGAACTTAAAAAAATGTTTTTGATTCTGAGAGAAGTGTCATGATTTCTCTTTGCAAGACCTCCAAGAGCAGTTTCGCAGACAGACTAAGACTGCAGCTGAAAAAAATAGATTTTAGTCCAAAATTATGTTATTTCATGTCTGGAAAACTAAACCTGAATGGCTCAAATGCCCTAAATGCTATTGTACTTCACTGCTCCAACTTCAGCAAAACTGCAGAAGGAACTTAAAGGCTTCAGTGTCCAAGGTGCAATCGGTTCAATGACACAGGTACAAAGTGTGAAGGTCAAGGTCCTTTACCTGCTGTGGCCCCTATTTACACTCAGCTGTGTGACGTCAAGGTTTGTTTTTTTCTAACCATGTGCAAAAACAGTGATCGCTAAACTGAACTGAAACTAAGAAAAGCTAGGGTCTGAAAAAGATATCACTCATTCAATTAGGCTAAGAAAATTATGTTTCTTTGTAAATTTGTCTAAAACAAAAATTATATGAACTCATAAAAACAATCAGAGCTGGTTCATCTGTACCTTCTTTCATAAGATACTAATTAAGGCAGGTAATTTAGCATTCAGAGGATTCTGAGATTTCAGCATTTTCTCCTTGTTTCTTTAAGCATGTGTCTACATATTACACATAAATAACTTCCTCATGAACTAATAATAACAGCAGGAACCCAAAACAACAAGTACCCAAACAAGCAGGGATTAAAATGACCCAACAGGTGGTAAGCTGCCCTGCCTGTAGATCCTACATGCATATATTTGGTCAGATCAACATTTTCACAGAAATCCTTTCATTTCTTGTTTGGAGAGCTGTAGGAGGCTTATGTTGCTTTGAGAAACGTCCTTTTCAATGCGAGTCTCTAGAATAGTAGGGGCAAACAACTCAAGTAGCCACACTGATGGAAAATCTGCTGGATTTAAATAATCAAAAGTTACCCTTTTAACACCTTAAGGCATGCAGGTTTATCAAAGAGTTTGTGAGGCAGTTCAAACTTAAAGCGGGTAGATGTCTGTGTCTTTCTGACTACTAACTTGTAGAGGGTGAGGTCTGTCTGCAAGTCAGCAGAAACCTTGAGAATGGGTGGTTGAGGGTGTCTCGTGTCCTGAGGGTGACGTGCGTCAATGGCCTCCTGGGGTGTCAGATGAACAGTGATTGGGATGACAGGTAAGATGCTAATGTACCTGTAAAAGGACAATAAGATAGTGGACATAATGAAGCTGAAAGAAACATCGAAGCAGAATTAAAGACTTAAGAAAAAAAAGAAACAAAAAAAATTGTTCCTGGCTTTTACACCTTTAAAGTGGGAAAGTGTTTGTTGGACAACGCATAAGCACATAACTGAAGTAGGTTACTTGTTTGTAGCTGCATTTTCCATGTGGAGAATGGCTGACAGAAATTAGTTGTTCTTTTTGTCCATCTTTTATTTGGAGTTGATATAAACTTCATAATGCAACATTTCATTTTGCAGAAACATCACATACACGCCAGGAATGAATCAACACATTATGCTGCACCAGTATCATAACGAGGCAAGAAAATCTAAACTGCTTTGCTTGCTTTCATGGAAAATTTGGGATCTCCACTACAGTGTAATATACCGTTTCCCAATTAAGAAAATAACAGACTGACGAACAACAACAAAAAACTCCCCAGCAGCACTCGCCTTTTTGCTAAAGTGATGTTGTAGTAACTGAAGAGTGATGGCCAGTGCCTGAAGGACAGTCTCCTCCATCCCTCCTCATCCTCCTCCCCCCAGGTGATCTGAGGTACAGCGGGTGGGGACTGTGGAATGGGCCCTGCCCTTGGAGGGCCATGATGTCCCTGCGATTGGTTCTCAGGTAAAGGAGTTGGATCTGGTGCACGATGGATGCTCAAGGTGCTGGTAGGATCCCCACCTCGAAAAACCGGGGCCACTCCCAGGTGTGGGGGCAGACCACCTCCCCCGGGGTCGCCTAAGGGGCTTTGTTCAGACACCTGTGCAGCCAGGTAGGTGCGGATTCCAGCTGGGTCGGTATACACAAGGATACCAATCCAGATCACTGTGCCAGCCTAAAAATGAAAAAATAAAAAAGGTCATGTTGATCAGTTAGCTGGAATATGTGGCCAGCTTCATTTTACATCGAGCTGATATTTACTTAATTTAGACCACTTTAACCTAATGTATGTATATGCTTGTATTAAACGAATCCACCTTACAGTATAGGCATATTTACATACATTGTTGGCTTTATGTAGGCACAGCAATAAGCTTGCAGACTGTAAAAGCTATTCTGTTAGTTTTAAAGCTGAAACAGACATTCACCCCCCCACCCAAAAAATAAATAAATAAATAAATCTTGTTAGTCTTTGCCATTGTATGAAAGAATTAGAAGCTGACAGTTGAAGACAAATGGCAGCAAAGTGCACAAAAACATTTACAGTCAGTTCTGAATTTGTCTTCTCACCATGATGATGCGCTGAGCCAGGCGCGTGCGAGCCAGGAAGTACACCACACGCAGCCTCTTGGGGAGCCTCAAGTTTCTAAAGGCTGGTGTCTGCAGAGTGATTGTATGCGGAGAGGGTCGCGGTGGAGGGGGTACCTCACGTGTACGCAGGGGGCCTGGCTTGGGTGGAGGCATACCTGCTTCAGCTGGCAGGCGGCGGTTCAGGTCAGCCAGCTAAAGGGAAATAATGAGGTTCACACTTTTTTTTTTTTTAAAAAACCGTTTTTTGTATTTTAAGTCAACTTCACAATACATGCTGAAAATATCAAGAGTGATTATGTGTCTCAGTGCTGGTTGTGTTTTTTTTTTTGTTTTTGTTTTTTTATTTTAAACTCGGTTCTTGCCTGGTGCACAAAGGTTTACATCACATAAAACTCTTGTTACTTAAATCTAATGTTGAGTCCAGCATATTAACTGTGTGTGTGTGTGTGTGTGTGTGTGTGTGTGGATTTGAAAGTATGTATATGCGTTTCTCACCTCCATGCGGCGAATGTCTATAGATAGTACAGTGGTGAAGAAAAACATCTGCAGGAAGAAGTCAGACACCAGCCCCACAACAGCAAATAAACAGAATTCCTAAAATAAACAGAAGAGACATTAACCACATAGAAGCATTTCCCACCTGGCTTGATTTAGCATTATGCTTTGCTTATTTAATAACAATAACTTTAACTACAGTTTTCTCCTGGTGCACTTCCTTCAACAGTTCCAGCATTTGTCCTCTTACCTGGATAGCTGGCACAAGAGTGAAATATCCAATGAGGATAATACACAGCTCAGTGGCCATATTCTTCATGATAGACCAGCTCTCATTACTAAGGCCTGAAAAAACAGAACAACAATCAGGGAAAAATAAAGAAATGCACCATATTTAATAAGCCGTGACTAAACTACATTCTCCAAAATTACCTTGAGCTATGCGCAGTTTGACCTCGAGGTCGACAGGGGTGGAAACCACAGACTTGGTGAGCACCAAGACGTTCTCCAGCCCGATTACCACCACCAGATAAGGGAAGATCTCACTGCAGGGAGAAAAATAAAATACCCTCAACTTTAAACTCTGTTTAAATTACAAACACAAATGTACTTTAATAATGCAGCCGCCAAGGCACCGAGAAAATGTATGTGGTCCACTCCTATGTTTTGTTTGTTTTTTAGTTATAAAATCAGTCATTTAGGGTTCAATTTCTTTTTTTTTTTTTTTTAATTCTTGGCCCACATAGCTGGGAATTTCCCTGAGTTTAGTATGTGTGACAGATTAGTTTGACAGGATAGATAAGCTTTAGATGAGGCAAGTGTATAACTGGGTCACACACACACTCAGTAACACTGTACATAATAAAACACACACACACCCAACACTATCTGTATCTCACCAGCTTTGTGTGTGGAGTCGATTATGACTCTGCAGATTTGCATGTTGCAGTCATAGTTTTGGTACGTTGGCCTTGATGTGTGTTTATGCAAGCACATGGCCTGGGCATTCACAGCCCATGGAGGACTTGCATGGATCTTAGTGGCTGGTTAACAGTACCACTGTCACGCCATGAGGTCTGCTTCCTAATAAACAGCTCACGATTGGACAGCCATTAAACGTCAGTATCTGAATACATCTGCCCCATATTTCAGTCCATCCCACTTCCACACAGTGTTCTTCCTTTTTCATACACACTAACACGCTGTTTGCCCACATGAAGTGATCATTAACAGAACTCCATGTACGATCAATACAGAAGAAGAGGAAAGTCAAAAGTCAGGTACGTGCACGTGAGTTGGTAAAAATAAGGATACAACTGACAGCCAGCTAGAGGTGTTAACATTAACAGGATATATTTGAATGTCAGTAAGAGCAGGAGAACAATGAAATTACTGCAGACATAATTTCAGTAGTGATTCACAAGTTAAACTCATCCTTCAACCTCTTAAAAATATTAGCTAGTAAGTGTTTTCAGGCTGCCGCAAAGAGTTGACTCTGTTCATTTGGACATAGTGTTTTCAGAGAGTTTCCTGAAAACACTACAATCCAGACGAACAGAATGAATTTTTTAGGACTTCCTTACCTGGATGATTGAGCATGCATGAAGACAGCTTTTAGGCTGGTTTAAACAGCATTCATAATAAAGAAAATGTACTGTAAAAACAGTTCATGCACTTAAAAGTGTAAGGAGCATTCAAGTGCTAATCACTACAGTCTGAAGTTAAAGCTACTGTGGAAGGTAAGTGCAATAGCACTGGAAGCTACTTCGGTTAACTAACATACAACGATGCCATATGCATTAGTTTCTACATGCAAACACGAGAAGAAAACAAAACAAAACAATGTTTTACTTTAAAAAAATGGCACTGACTGGAATGAAACTGATTCCTTGCTTTGGTGTAATCAAGGGAAACAATGAGTATAAGTCATGAAAGTACAAGTACCAAGTTGCTCTCAGTGATGCAAACATACATTTTTGCTGCGTCTTGTTTCTTGGCTGCCTGATTTTTGAAACAGTCTCTGCATTCCTTGGCTTACGTTTTAGGCTGAAATCTAATAAGCGTCTGCTGCCAAAATGGCATGTGCGTTACTGTTCCTGGCAGATGAACAAGAGCAGAGACCAGACCCCTTTAGTAATCTTCAGACACTCAAGTATGTAGAAAATGGTTTTTACCCTCCATTAAGTGTGGGTGTCAGTCCAAACAGTGTACACAGACCCACAGACATGAGCAGAGAGCTGAGCACTGTGACCACAGCAGCCAGAGCAAGGCCCCACTTAGATTTCACCATGTCGATCTTACCTGCAAGGAAGAAAAAGATGATATGTTGAGGACTTCACACTAACCAGCTGTACAACTATTCAAATCCTCAGCCAGACCTTGTCTTAAATCAAATGATGGTGATCATGTAGAGAAGGCGTTTAAGCATATCCAAAATTACATTTCTAGATGGCAGGTGATGACACTGAACACTAGGCTTGCTGATAAAATATGCAGGGGTTATGAAATGAAACTGTACAGGCTATCCATTTCTCAAACTTGCAGGTTTTCTTTGAAATGACAATTCTGAAAATGACTACACTGTAAAATAAAACAGCAGCTGCATATTGTTGTAACAGATGTTTGTTCAATTACAGTTTTCCAAGGCAGCCTCAAGTGTACACTCTGATTTTCCAGACTGGAAGGAGAGGTCTTTCTCAGAAGGGAACAGATAGCAAAACAATGGTGAGACAAATAACTGAACTTTCTGACCCCGATGTATCAAAAATAAGAATGAAACTTAAACAGACTCAACATAAGAAAGAAAGCTCCGTTTTATTATCGGAGCAAAGAAACATCGTGGACCCTTCTGACCTCTCAGCTTTCCTCGAACCTCAGGAGAACAGAAATAAAGACTGTGCGCTTCATCTTTCTCACACATTCTTTCCACTGTAATGCTGCACAGACCCCGTTTCATATCACACGTCCTAAATAAAATTCCCTTCTTTTTACTGTTTAATGTGAATTTCATGAAGAATGCAGCCACTGCAGTTGTATAACCAAAGCTCTGCTGAATGCTTTTTTCCTTTATTTACATATTTTAATGTTTAAAAAGAAATACAATTTTTCCTTAAACTGTACTTTGCGCAGCACCACTTTTCACTGTCTGAGACACTAGCAGCCCAGTCTGCTCTGACGTGTAATCAAAGTTTCTTCACTTTTCAGTTGGCATAAAAGTCAGGCAATGTTGGTTACTATGCTAAAAAAAAAAAAACAAAAAACAAAAAAAACCCCTATGAAAAATGCTAAAAATCTGAATCATAGAAAAGCGACATGCTAAATATTCCTCTGGTGGTCAAAATTACAGCACAGCCATTTCTTCAACATCTCTGAATGGTTACATTTTCAGAGGATATCAGCATTTTACTAGCAAAGTGAAAAATTGTGTTTGCATCGATTGTAATGGGTTTTGTGTGTGTGTGTGATTTCTTGCTTGTTTCACTGTTTAACAACAAATATTGTGTTACTGAGAATTTAAAACAGCATGAACGTGCCAAGAGCAGGAAAGATGTGCTAACAACAAACATCAAGGTATTTCTCTGAAGCTTTGGAGATACTGACATCAAAATAAAACCTTACACTTGTGTTTACCTCATGTTTTCTGTGATCACAAGGTGTTCTGGTATTATTATAGAATATTATGGCTCTCTTTTGGGTTCATTAAGAAACATTACCGCAATTGTCGGGCTATAAGCCGCTACTTTTTGCACAAGCTTTGAACCCTGCGGCTTTTAGTCAGGTGCGGCTTTTCTATGGATTGTCCATGATTTTTGTCATATCGTAAGACGATTTGTTTTGTTTGTTCCGCTGTTGTACGGCACTACGTTGCCTGGCGGAAGGATCGGGGTTCAAGAGTGGTATGTTAGTCACATGTCCGTCCGCCAGGCAACGTAGTGCCGTACGAAGTAGCGCGAAAAACAAACTTCAAAGTAGCACTACGCGTTCAGCGGGAGGCGTGGATGATGAGCGGCGATAAACTTGTGAAAAGCAAGTTATGCCCAACTCCACCGGTGGATTCTGACAGCGTGGAAAAGTGTGAAAACATCCACGATCACCAACGGATTTTGAAGGGCTGGACTGCTGCATGATGGAGAGGAGGACACCGCCACGGCCCTTCTGAGGGTGTTCGACTCTGACACTGACAACGAAGGAGAGAAGCTGAGAGTGGATGACGAAGCCATCCTGAGCCTGTTTGTATCCGACACTGGAGGAGAGGACTTTGGTGGTTTTAGTGCGCAGGAAGATGGTAGTGAATGACTGACTTTTCTTCTTGTTAAAGCCGTGTCACTGCACCTGAGCCTAAAAGGTAGTCCGAATCTATTTTTCTGGTGTGCTATAGGTTACTGTTATGTACTACATGTGCAAATATGTACCCATAACTTGTTTTTCAAAATATTAATAAAAGGGGTGTGTCTCCAAACAGCCATCTCTTTTCCTGACAATTCCCTTATCATATGTAAGAGAATATGCACAAGTCAACATTGAAACACCTGCGGCTTTTGGTCAGGTGCGGCTAATGTATGTACAAAACAGGATTTTCCCCTGATTTTAGCTTGTGCGGCTAATATTCAGGTGCGCTTTGTAGTCCGGGAAATACGGTAGTCTCATTGAATAATTATCTAAATTATTATACTGCAATTACAAGTGCATATCAGGAGCCAAATGTGAGTAATTTAACCACCTTGCAGGTGAAAATTCATTTGAGTACTTGGACGGCGTGTGTGTCTGTGTGCACGAGTGTGTGTGTGTGTTTGTTCCCTGAGCTAATGTTTGTGCTGGCAAGCTGCCGATGGTTTGGTGGCTGCATTCTTACAGCGGTGTGCAATGTTCCCATGTGAGGATTATCCCTGCAGCAGACAGGGACAACCTTGGCACCCAAACACTTGTGCACACAAAAGGGCACAGCACGTTTTGCCCTCATTCTCTGGCACTTTTCTGTTTTAACTATGGTGAGGTGTGCAAACAAGTGGTAGTGGTGGGGGGAGTCGAGATGTTTGAACATGCACCGAGTACAAAGCAGATTTAAAGGGAGTTGGACTAACGTGTAGAGAAGTAGATGTAGGCAAAAAGAATGATGTATGTGGTGACGAGCGGGATGAGTTCAGCAATGCCGATCTCCTCCTTGAAGTGGACGTGAACCATGTGGTCATCTCTGAGGGTGCAGTTGGCGGATGGGTGAAGCTGCTTCAGGCGGGCCCGTAGGCTGCCTAGGAACCTGGACACACAAATAACAATTAATCATCGTCACATGGAGTAACAAACTTCATCACTCCATTTTTAATTTTGAGAAACAGACACTTTGCCTTGAGGGACAGATGCCATTAATCCAAGGAGAAGACAGTTCTGACTATTTATGCCGTTCTATTGAAAAAGTGAAATACAATAAAATGCAAAACCTAAGTCACAGACTCCTACTCTGTTCAGGCTCCAGAGTTAGTTTGTAGATCTCAGTTTCAGTTAGTTTCCAGAGTTGGTTTGTTCTTTTAGTTTAGTTTTTAATGCATAGAAACATAGTTTGACCGTAGGCAAGCCCAGAACAGACAGACGATACAACAGAAAACACTTTCCAAAAGACACTTGACTCAAAGTCATGGAAACATCCCAGTCTCACGCTCCTCAAGCTTCTTCTCTGAAAATTTTAGTAAACTACAAAAGATTGAAATTTTTCCAATTTAGTTTCATTAGTAAAATATATATTTCTTAAGTGTAGTTTGTAATTATCTTTTTTATTTCTGTTTACCGATTTTAACTCTATTAGTTTAAAGTTTAAGTGTGTATTTTGTGTCTTAAGCTTTTTCTAAAGCAGCATTGCCGCCCAAGAGTCACAGAGTTAGAGATGACAAAAATATGAAACGAGAAAAAAAAACAAAAAAACAAAAAAACACACCAACTAAATTTTCCAGTGACATCCCTTAAAACTAAATTTAAATAGAACTGGCTTTTAGTTTTCTGTTCTATTGCCTTTGTAACTCACCTTGCATCATAACTGGATAGAACTACAGTGATTGTATAGGTCACCACCCTCTTCCTGTTGTAGTGACTGACCCCCGAGTACTTCACAGGAACCCCGAACAGCAAGTCTAAAACACACACAGTAAACATCTTCATGTAAATAGACTCTTCATATTCTAGTAACAGACCACCTTTTTACAGATCACTTTAGGTTGACCACTGGTTATTTATTAGTCACCAGCCAAACATTCTCAAAGCCCTTAGGTCTGTGTCAGAACAGATACAGTTACCACTTCTTTATAAGAATAAAAAGAAAAGAGACGTTTTAGAGCAGTTTTAGGCTTAGAAAGCTTTGTGGGAATCTGCTGTTGTCACCAAGTTCTTTTGATCTTAGTCACAACACAAGGAAACATCTTAGTGATCAGGAGCACATGTGAAAGCAGAAAAAAAATACCTCACTGTTTTAGG